CAGTAAGTTGATTTCGTTCGAATTTTAATTGTCAAGCTTTGTGTAATATTTGTGCCATAACAAAAGGTACTAATCTACTTAATTTTAATTGTAACTCTTCGTATTACTGTGAATTGACTTCAGCTAGGTAACTAGGGGTAGGTAACCCTTGAATTTGTTTGTTATTTAATTGTTTTATTTTCAATGTTATTCTTATTTTGATTTGTTTAATATTGGCCAGTTCCTTCGATGTTTAAACTCGTTTAGTTTAATTAGCGACTTCAATTCTTTGTGCATCAATCTGCCTTTTTTTAAATGAATTTAACTGTTTCGGCCGTGCAGAGGTAAATGCTGGAGTGTTAAACCCACTTAGCGGCATTCATCTTGAAATCCAACTTCAGTCTAAGGTTTCCGTATCGAGGACCTCCAGATACCTTCTGGATTGGCTAATTATTTCAATTAATTTATGTAAGAGAGCAATGTTATTTTTCACAAATGGGAAAGGCGTAGAGTTACTTCTAGATCTATTTGAGTTGGCTACTTTTGAGCATATCAAATTTGTGTAATAGATTAAAGTCAGATTTAAATTATTCAAATTCAAGAGTTACTTCCTCGGATAGTTAATTTTTGTATATTGCAGTGCTTCAGATTTACCACCTATATTTGTGAACCTTCGTGAACAATGATTCAGAATTTTCTTCGGGCCGTTAAAAAAGTAGGTGCTTGGTCCTTCGTAAATAAAACATTAGTCAGCATTTGCGTTACGCTTGTTTACGTTTTATCAGGAAATGTTCAATTCCAATTAATTTTATTGTCAAACCATTGAGTAAGGAACCTGATTATTGATTCAATGGTTTTCTTGATATTACCACAGACTAAATATTACAGAGAGTGAAACGCCTGTGTGGCCTTTAATTTTGGAAAACATGGTATGTAAAAAAAAGCGGCTCTAGAAACAATAAATATTACACCTTGAAAATACTGCGGTCTTCCTGTTTGATTCCAAATTTGGCCGTTTGTTCGTAGAAGCCACCTTATTCAAAGGGCGTTGGAAGTGGAAGTTCGTACTTCCGGAATAGGATCGTGCCAATGTTGAACGAAAAGTCTTTTCGTTCAAAATTGACACGATACTATCCCTGAAGTCGCTCACATCTTCAGAAAAACATAGATTGTAGACCGGGTTCAGGTGTTCTGTGACCGGCAATCTTTCCTGGCGAGAGGCTTATATAGCATCTAAAAAACCTACTAACCTCGCACAAGATACTACCAATGGATACTCTTTGGTTATACTATCTATCAAAGGTCAACGTGCTTTAACTAGCAACCCCTTTTCTCAAATATCGGTTGGTAAAGGCCCATCCCACCCTATCTTTTGCAACCATAACACCTGAACTAAATATTTAAGTAAAAACGTAAAATGACTTAAAGGCTCATTAACATCTTGTACCTTATATTGAAATACATCGCGCTTTGTATCAAACTAAATTCCTATAAGACCTTAACAGCAGATTGTATGATTCCCATTGTGACCTCTACAGAGCCTTGTAATGGTTGGGTCTACGTCAGAAGATGCCCATTTTCCCAAATCAAAACCTCCTGTTCTCAATTAATAGACTTCGGATTTGTTAAAAGCTCCTAGCTAGCGTTGCTTTAGGATAATTTTTACCTTCATCGTATATGTAAGTTGTCTTATAGTATGTTAGGATTTGCCAAAAACAATGATGATATTGCTCCGAAAATAACACGAGTGTGCCCCGACCTCCCCTATAGGTTCGTTGGAACTTGATCGCCAAAATATATGGAAATATTTACAGTCCTCGGGGTGTAGGTACCATATTCCATCTAAACATCTGACAAATATCGCAAGCTAAAGCTACCAGTCCCTTTTTCTTTTTAAATGGAAAACAAACAATTGACCCTTTTCGTTGCGTCTTTTGGACATTTGATACTGAGTTTCGCAAAATTGGTCATCTGGTGCGACTAACCTTGGTAAAGGTATTTTTTCAGATTCCCAAAACATTCTCAAAATGTTGTCAAGTGAAGGTTCGTTATTTTGTGATTGTAGAATTTTGATGTACGTTTCCCACTATTACCCACTCAAGTAAAGTCAAATAAGCGCTAGGTGTGGCATTGGAAGGCTGTGTACCTTTAGTCTAAAACTGTATTCAAAGAGTGACTAATTATTTGCTGTATTGCTAATATATCCACAGGGGATGATATATTAAACTCTGGGTCTGCTATAACTGAACACATTCAAATCCTTTTCTAATCTCTTTCATTAAGTTTGAATCTGGAAAATTTGATGTAATACGTGACAATACATCGTTATAGCCTCAAAATTAAAAATCGGTTTAGGATTGTGTATGGATTTAAATCTCACAGTATACCTTCCCTAGGAGAACTTCCAGTACCTACCTGATAATTTCATAGATACATCGTTTGCGTTTTAATCCTAATTTATTTACTAAACGCGTGGTAATATAATAATACTCTGCGATCCGGTGTCAAGCACAAGTCGACAAGGTGTCCCTGTCCATACCCCGTATAACTTTTTTTTACCACCCTTGCGGTCCCCAATAAAGTTCTGCGGTATACCTACTTTAAGATAACATACGATTTGTTAAACGAAACGAAGGATAAAAGATTGTACGCAATAACAATTAAAATTGAGATATGAACTAAAAACAGCGTCACTTTTACTGGTAAATTTGTGTATTTTTTCTCGGCGGTACCGCCCTTACTCTCCTTTCATTTCACTTTCTTCCTGTGGCGCTTGTTAAAAAGGAGGGAAACACGTAATTGAAGGAACAAATAGCCTTCTTTATATTTAACACGAAACGTTCTTTTATATCCTTAAACTGTAGAATTAAACGGCCTTTTCATTTGACATGCAGCCCATTCATGATATTCTCCTCTTTGGTTTATGAAATGATCAAATTTTGTGCAATATTCTCTCGAAATTGATATTTTTCAAATACTGTACAAGGAGAGATTTGTTTAAGGGCACCTCAAAGGATACTTTGCGAAGGCCTCTGATATACACAGTGCGCCATAAATCCCGGAACGGTCGAATATCTTGGTCATCTACAAACCGATTTTTTTCCAATATGGTAAAACTCTAGAACAGAACGCAAATAATTCATTAGTATCAATGCAAATCTTTTTCACTTCCGGCTTGCCGAAAATAACCCGATTTTTTTATTGGAATAGTGTGTATTTTTAATTTTTGAATACACAATTAAAAAAGCACTAGCAGCAATGTTTTTACTCGTATGTTAAATGCATTACACAGAAATTAAAAATGATTGTCACATTAACGTTCCAAAACAGGAATTTTATTCCACTTAAAACTTTTCAAAACCGACGTAATAATGTTTTTAATTTCCTAAAACGATTATTTTATTAATATTTATGCATGTTAATTTTGTTTTCTATTAAAAACATTGTTGCTATTTTTTTTGTGCGTGGTTTTTTATTTTGTATTCAAAAATATACTGGGTGTTCTATTTAAATCTATCTAATTTATATAGGTTGTGATAATCCACCCTGATGGTTAGGCAACACACGTTTACATCCGAAACAAAAATATAATATACTCTGTATATAAACAACGACCGTTTTGCGCAGATGCCGAATACTAGGGGATTTTGGTAACGAAGCTAGGGGAGAATGGGAAGAAGATGGCGACGAGGCCGACGGAAGGCACACGCTTTCCCGGTTTTTTTTTTTGATTATTCTTGATTATTTTGGGTGATGGTGTTTTGAAGGTGTATTTACAGGTAGTAACCATTTTATTCTTTCTTGTACTAGCTATTTAATCATTGAATGCTTGCCACAATTTGATATTATTTACATTTTGCTGATTTTACATAAACTATGATATCTGAATCATGGCGTACTCCATGCCTTTGTTTTGGGTACCGTTAGATGAATCGTGTTTGTAATACTGTACAGATGATTATGCCATTATTTTGTTTAATTAAGTTATTTACTTCTGTTATTCATGAGGAGTTGATTATCGGTGTGATGTTGCTCTGTTCGATTGACCCGTAACTATTCCGTGAGGGAAGTACCTAATACAGTTTGATGGTTCGCTGTATCTGTTACTTGCCGATTCGTGACGCGCTGCATTTCGCAATATGAGATGGGGGCCCTCTCAGTAACATTTCCTCTATTTAAAATATGTTCTGTTTGAGCGATAATCGATTTTCACATGAATACTTGCTATTGACCAATGGCATTCTCACATGTACTTTTCGTGGTAAATTAAATTATGTTAACTGAAGGATGGAGTAGAGCCACACCATTTACATGTTTCCTATGTACATGCAATTTGTTTATTTGATGAGTTGTAATATCTCTATTGATCGTACAGGTATTTTGATGTGTTTTTGTACTGAATTGATTTATCATGTTTTCCACTGCATTTATGATGTCTTGTGAATTTTGATTTTATGAACTTGTTTAATTGCATTTGATTTGATTATCTGATTTTTATCATACCATTTGCGATGTTTTATTTATGTGTATTTTCTCTTGCATTTTATTGCTGTAGGTGATTTATTTCATGTATTTGTGTGGCCTGTGCCAGGGTTTTAGTCCCGTAGAAGGTTTCCCTGGCATGGTCTTGTGTGTGCGTTAATATATTTATTTGATCTTGTCATTTCTTACGCACAGAAGTTCTGTCTTTTATTTAATTCCCTTCCCGATTATGTCTCACGGCCCAACACATAAAACAACCGATTACACAACGTAGGAGTCCATTCCTGCCATCCATATCGAACTGACTGTCATCCAAATTCAAAAGTGCTGCGAAACTACCGTCGTTTCGACTTGAAAGGTAGGTGGCTCTGCTTGTAGTTTTTGCCAGACGTAAGTATATAGTAAGTCAACGTTTCCAGTGTAGGCTTGATAAACCCCCCCCCTAGGAACATTACAAGGTAATAAGTATTTCAAAAAATCCAAAAAAATAATGTATCATTAGATGTCGGGGGTAGGAGTGTAACGCATAAGGTATAAGGCTGGTTTCAAAAATTTTAATTAATTATAAATTAATAGTTACAAGAATTATACTAGTAATACTTTATAACAGCAACTCAAATTGCGCATTAGCTTTCTTAAGGGCAAGTACATATTTGTCACTAAATGTTTATGAAATGTCAACTGGTTCAATTATGGCAAACAAAAACAAACAATTAGTGAACGTTACTTTCATTTGGAATAAAAAAAAGAAGTTTAAATCATATTCAACTCAACATAACCATCATACAGATATAAACAAGTATCAATTACAACTCAGTCTCAAACATAATTCATTATTATGTGATCAAAAATAGTATGTACACCTGTTTACAATTAAGATTTTACTTACAAACCAAAACAATAATAATTTACAACAGTTATACATTATAATCACAGTCAAAATTTATATATCTACACTAACAATTAAAAAAAGATTTTTTCAGATAAAATTATAAAAATTAATAGTAATCACGAAGGCGTAGATGGGGCTCTAGTACGACTATTGGCGCGCCTTGGAATGGATGAAGTGGACATATTAGAGCCGTATATTGGTGGTGATGGAGGTTCCCCGGGCTTTCTCCAAAGCTTGGGGTGTAACTTCTGTAGGCTGCTATTTTGTAATGGGGATGATAATTCGCTAGTTGGAGATGGACGAGATCTTTTCGAGTTTTCATTCACACTGTAATATAGTAATTCGTTTTTATTGTTTTCATGCCCCAAAATATATTAAATCAAATTCCGTCGATTTTATAAGAAAATTTCATAAAGCTCCAGTCATGCACAAACACCTCTACAATCAAATGTGGCGAAAGCAATTGACGTAGGTACAATCCTTTCTGCCCTAAAAAGACGACAATTTTGCTAAAGTTCGCTAATTACTAATTATAATACTTTGTAGCGTAATCTATTCAACTTGGGATTGCATTCCGTAGTAGGAGGGAATTCCATGTATATCCCAGCCTGTGTCAAAACTTACCCGGAATTGCTGATCAAGCAGCATGTAAGAAAAATTAACTATTACAAGTACTTGTTATCACTACCTATGAAATACTTAAGTAGGTACTTAAGGCTTCTTTAAGGTTTCCAGTATAACAAAATAGCAGAATTTTACTTATAATATTATACTACTTTCCTTAACTCGTTTTTATTTTTTACTTTTATCACAGGTGCTTGTGTAAAAATTAATGTTAATATAAATTGATGAAAAGTTACAAGGATCTACATACCTACAAGCAAAATGATAATAAAGGAAACGGTATAAAATCAAAGTGTTAATGCAAGTACTACTGATCCATTGTTGTTAAGCAAGAAGTACAGGAATACAGAAGGTTAATGAGGCACAAAAGGTTAACAGCACATAAAACGCAAACACCAAGCAACAAATCAGCTAACACTACCTTCCCAATCCTGAAGCTGTTCCAATAGATATATACGAGTATCAATAGCAGCATAAAGAAACATTTTAGTGTTAATTCAATGTTGATTAACATCAGAAAGTGGAAAGACACCCTTGGCGCGTTTACATCGACAATAATACGTAATTAGGTATGGAATATGCTCTACCTGACTAGAGAACCCACATTTCCTTCTGTAGGAGAAACTTGAAGTAACGAAGGACCTGCTGATATAGGTCGGAGCTATTAAGATGAAATTCAAATTAGAAAACTGCAGAAATTAAAACGTTTTGTCGTACCCTATCGGTTTGTGTTGCAGCATTAACAGTGCTTACTTCATACGAGATCGTTGACGCAGGTGCAGATTTAGCCGTTTCATTATCAGTAATGAGTTTATTAATCATTTGATCGCGATCATCTAATTGCCCTTGAAGAAATAGAACCTGTCGTCTGAGATCCGCCAATTCGAGCCGCGAGCTTCCGCCTTCCAAGGAAACATTTTCTGTAGATGCCATTTCTGAGCTAAGACCATTGAAGAGCCCATTCTTCAGACTACACTGATTTTCGAATGGGTTGAGAGTTTCAGACTGTAAATTAATAACATACAACTACTTGAAACTGCAGTCAAATGTGTCATTACACTACCTTCTTCAAACAATCTTCATCTGCTTGCTGAACACAGACAAAACGAAAAAAAAAACATGCAAAAAATCAAATTAAAAAAGAAACAAAATTGAGCATAAAATCTCACCTCATTTAAAACACGTTTAAGTTTAAAAAGCATCGTTTTCATTTGTACAATATCTTGTACCATGGCACCATGGCTGGATCGATCAATTTTGATGGAGTCGTCCGAATCGTAACCGGCAGGCGAATTTACTGATGGACGGGGTAGTCTCATAGGACTTCGTGTCACCGAATGCGAGGTCCTTGAATTCACCCTGTTTTCTACAGAATGAGGCGAGTCTGAGATCGAATTCGGTGTACTTGCCCTTGATCGTAGAAGGCGAGCTGATCGAGCAGTACTGTAACGAAAATGACAGGGCTTAGTAGTAAAACATCTTCGCAACAAAAATTGTGGACACGGTTTGGTTTAATTGTGGCTAACCGCATGCATATCGAGTGGAGACCATCGCGTGTGATGCAGTGACACAATTCTTGATAACTACCTAGTCAAACAAATGCAGAAATCTTTCTGTGGCATAGTCCCCAAAGCAACTAGCAAGTTTAAGTAGTTAATTTGTCATTTCTTAAAACGATAGAAGATCAAGTAAATAGGTACATCAGAACTTTCTTCAGATAGAAATCTTTTTGTAAAAATGCTGAGACGTCAATTTTTTTTGGATTGTGGGGCGATAATACTCACGAACTATTTTTTCATTCTTCGCCGCTGTAACTAAATACCCACAATTTTGAAATGGTGACACAATAAAATCCAAAAACTACATTTTGCCAATAGATAGGTCAACTATAAAGTCTTGCCTTTAAACTCGTTGCGCCTGCTTTATAGTATTTTACATTATTAGCCAGGTAAGTGAGTTTTTACTGGCGATAGGAGAAGTTGACTAGCGAGCCGTTAGGCGAGCTTGTTATCTCCTAGAGCCAGTAAAAACTATTACCTGGCGTATAATGTACAATATTTTATTTGTTACTCATTTGTAAACAATAGTAAACGTAAATAATTAGTTCTTAAATTAATCTTGAAGAAATGTCTAAAATATCATGTAATCCATGTAACAGAGACTTCGCATTAATTCTGGCCAATGAAATTACTAGATTACTAACTTGTAAAATTTTTACAGGTCTGCTGTCAGTTTTACAACTCTGCTGTCAGTTTTACAAGTCAGTAGCGTTTAAACATGACGTTTACCCGTTTGCATTTTGTCTTGTTAATCAACGTTTACAACTGAGTAACAAATAAAAGTCTTAATTATACACTTTCCAAATTGTAGGTACAGCACTTCCAATTAGAGCTCCAAATTTTAATTGGAATAGTACCCCATCAGGGTAACGTTGTTGATGACCAACTCGTATCGACTTCAAATGTAAAATAAAAGCGAAATTTCATATTTTATTCTCGAATCTAAGGCTGCCTAGAACGGAAGAAATTCTTTAATTTCTTTTATATTTTTTGTGACCATTTCAAAAGCTTTTTGAACACAAAAGAGACCTTCCCATTGCAACTTGTTCTCCCCTTCAAGCTGGAATAATTAAATTTTGTAACGGGTGTAATTAATTTCAGTTACAGGTACCTGCTTTTTGTTCCTGGGGATGAAGAAATTTTTTAGTATTATAGGTATAAATAATGCATATTGTATTTTTGTCAAACATGTTGGATTTTATTAAAACGTTAGTACATAAACACGTGTGGTGGTGGAAGAGATAATGAGAGAATGAATGGAAGTGGAACGAGTCGAGCTTTAAGAGCGTGCGATACCACGTCGCGCATTTCATAACTTTGTAAGAAAAATAAGTTACAAGTGTGAACTGAAGAGTGGGTACTTGTCCATATTAAATACCAAATAAACGGGCTAATAATAGTGCTCGAAATTGCATTATACTCTTATTCTGCTGGTCTGAAAAGTTTTAAAGAAGTATGACAGAGAAACCAAGCTGCGCACATCGTAAGTTCTTTACTCAGAGTACCAAGTTAACTGCACCCAATCCAAAAAGGTAAGTCCCAAAAGCACTACAACAAAGAGAAAAACAAAGAGAATCATGTTTTTGATGTACGTCTCCATTTTTGATAAACGTTATGAATAGAGTAAAATATAATGAAGTTTAGTAACGTTTATATTATAATTTTTTCTCTATGGCTATCGATTTCGGCAACATTGCCATCATCAGGCCTAGCTATAAATATATTCTGTATTATATAAACAACATAATCTTATACTTGTATAACACAAGTATAAGATTATGTTGTTTATATAATACAGAATATATTTATAGCTAGGCCTGATGATGGCAATGTTGCCGAAATCGATAGCCATAGAGAAAAAATTATAATATAAACGTTACTAAACTTCATTATATTTTAAAGAGAATCATACTGTATAAGAAGAATTTAGACATCGAACCACCCTTATTTGTAATCCTCCGTCCGTTAGATAATGACACCCAAGGACGTGAGGACAGTTACGACAGTTCGACGTTTCGGTTTTTTGGGGTCATCAACATTATTTTAAACACCACGGTCTGCATCATTAATTTAAATTTTAGAAGTACTCGGAAGTATTCAGTAACAATTACCTAGTGACTAAGTACATACCACCCCAATCAGACCCAGAAAATAGGGGGTGGCGATTACAGAAAGGTTGAGGATCGTTGCTTTAGAGGACTATCTCGTAGCCTAGCGCGTTTTTGGACAGGGCTATCAAGAAAGCACTTTAGGTTACTTGTGGGCATACGAAATATATAGAATTCAATTGAAATCTTTTAAACCCTTGGGGTTGAAGGATGCACAATAATATATTAAGACCTGATTCTGAAACGAAATCTCTATTTTTAACATTTTCGCCTTGAATTTTAAAATTTGGAAGGTAATGACTATCAAATATAATTTAAAGTACAGATTTTGAAAAGCCGTAATTTCAATCTGAAGGAAATAAGGTCATAATAAAAGGTTTGATTTGCATTAAACACGCAAATGGGAAAGGTTGTATCTACCCCAATCCATTACTGTTATTTTACGCAGAGGCAACGCTGACGCTCCCATTCTTAATTCGATCAGTGACAGTCAAAATTAAATTAATGAACAGGCTAAAACCGTTAAACAGAATTCTGAATAGGTACCTTTTTTCACTCCCCTGAGATCTAAGTGAACTTGAACTCGAATCGATACTTCTTGTAGTTCGGCGAATGGCGCCAGGGGATGTGCTTTTAATATTCTCACTCACGCTCGTAACATTTTTCTTAGCTGCGGAACTGATTGGCATTGTAGCTTATTAATTAAAAAATAATTTGTATATTTCCCTAACGAGTTAATTTAAAGGCACTTTAAGCATCACATCACTGTTATATTTGTAGGTAACATTGGTGTACTAAAATATTGTATATATTATTCGTAATTTGCTAAATAAACATTATAAGAATAGCAATATGCATGTTTTTTAAATGGAAGGTAACTGTCATGGCGAAATACAAGGAGTGATCATCCGCGAAATTTTGCGCAGGCTTTCAAGCAGTTCAATATTATGAGGATATGCGCTTCTGCTAGATTCGCACAAACTATCCGCTGTTGTAAGCAAAGATGCGGGATTAAAAGGAAATTGCAGTCAAATAGAAAATACATATGACATACACTTCCAAATGAAAAAAAAACGAGGGCGAATTTTCATAACAAAAATAAGTGAGGTGAACTGAATTGAACTTCCTAACTGGGCGAACCTGCCATCCGGATCCGGTTTCAAATTTCATGTAAATTTTGCGAAATAAAACGGTGATGACGGATCTCAAGTCGAAAAAACAGGTAGTACACTGAACTGAACCTGGGACCGAACTGCGTTTTTAGAGATTCGTATCTACCCTTCAGTATAAAGTATTTAGTGAATTAGTAAAGTGTGAGGTAGGTACTTACAGATTTTATAAGTTTTCTGGAAGTAGCATAAATGACAGGTATTTTGAGGACGATTACTTTGCAAAAATACAAAATAAAAATCATAAAAAGCAGCTTATGCAGATACAATTAACTTAACCGTTTCGCTAAGGACAACCCTGTATCTGTATAACCGTAAAGGACCATCATTGCAAATTGATAAATAACATCATGAATAACGCTAGTCTGCGAGCTCACATTTTTTGAAAGTTAACAGATGTGGTGTTAGTGCTCAATTTACTTTTAAACGTAAAGTTACAAAAAGAAAAAAGGTTTTCGCCTTAAGGAGATCGATGTACCTTTTTGTATGAGATTCAATCCTGATGAGATTTTCAACGTATTATAATTAATACCAAAGACCAGTGCTAATTTGAAATTAGAGATGAGCTTTGTTTACGCAATCTATTTCTGAAAGTTGTAAGTACGTAATTATATGGTCAAACAAGTACTGTACAGTGTACATACCTACAGCTCACTTTACTGATGCGTCCCAGACATAATTAATCCACCAACATTTCATTTTAATACTATTTTCCAGTAAAAGTAACTGCAGAGTGAATAGGGAAGCTTGGTTGTGCGTGTAATTTAGATCTATAGCAAAAACCTGGAAGATTATGAAACGATTGACGAACCCGCGGACAGAGATATTTTTTATCGTACAAGGTCAAATTCGTGGCTCACCATTGGGATCTTCGTAACGGTGATAGATACAGTGTAGGGTTAAATGAGGGCAAAGTTTCCCCTTTTTGTAACTAAAAACGCATTAAAAATTTTTGAAAAAAACAGCAGAAAAGACCAAGAAACTTTAGATTGACAAAGTGCGGGTAGCGGTGCACTACCACAATCTTTGGACTTTACACCAACCTTTAGACTTTGACCCACAATTATTGAACTTTGACCGGCAACGAACCTTAAGACTTTTAATGACGACTAGCATTTGGACTTTGAACAGTGAGAAATGGATTTTGAACGGTGAGTATGAACTTTAACAGGCGAGTAATGGACTTTGAACGGTGAGCACAGTTTGCAAAAATGACTAAAGTTTAAAGTACACTGTCTTGCTTACTGACTTCAACCTCAAACTATACAATTTTTAAAGGTCCCATGGTTACGCGCTAGCCTTCTATATCAGATATCGCAGGTTCAAATCCATTCATTTAAATTACGATGTGGAATCCTGCTCAAATAACATTATGCGAATTCTTGTCTTTATATAGCAATCCGTACGCCATCTAGGTGATTATTTCGTTAATTGTGAAGATTCTTTTATGATCTTCGCCCGTAGTAGATTTCTTGTCGTTCGTTTTTCTCCCATTCTTGTCGGCGCGCGCAGTGCTTGTCGGAAACTCGTATTCAATTTTACCATTTTGACATTTTTTGTCTACCATTTTATGGAATAGACTGGTGTTGTATTAAGATTAGTAAAGT